GATCCCTGAGCTCATAACAAGACTTTGGAAAGTCCTTTGTGGCTGCTTCAGCATAAAAGCACAACTGTGTGGATCTGGTGGCAGGAATGTGGGTTTATGCTGGTTTGGGCGATGATGCTGTTATTCTTTCACTTGGTGAGTGGTGACTGAAATCATAAACTAATGCTTTCCACATAGACGATAGGGAGAACAGCTGCTGCCTTGAGGAAAAATCAAAACATTTCACTTCTAAAATATATTTATAAAGCCATATAAATGTATTTTTCATTTTGTGTACCTGGGAATAGCTAAGCCCAAGCATAGTTAGGGGTAGACTTGCTGAAATATTGCAGTGAGAGTTGTCATCAAGCCCTTCCTAGTGTTTGGGTCACTTTGGCACCTGCAGTCTTATGACTTTGAAGCTTGCAAATGCAACTCAAACTCAGACTAAATGCATTTTGAGCATATTCCTTTAGAGATTTGTACCTCTGACATGCAGCTCTGTTGAGACTGGCAGCAAGCCTGCTAATTTTTACCAGTTGTGGCAGACTGTTTCAATGTCTTTTACCCTTCATATAAAGACAGTCTGCTCAAATGTCTGTATTTTTGTGTTTAAAACCATTGAACCTTTCCTAACTGGTAAAATCATGTATTCTCTCTACTTTTCTTAAACGTTTCCAGAACACACAATTGGACTGCAGCTCTGTACATATTTCTAATTTCTGCCTGAAAGCAATAGAGATGTCCTGCAATGCTTTTCCCTGCCTCTGAAATGTCTAGAGCACTTCTTGATGTCATCAGTGGGCTCAATTTCATATTTCTCTGTTTGTAGAAGGAGTGGATAAACTCCTGGTTGTGGACAAGTGTGAGAGCAGAATTTTGGCAATCCCTGGCTGGCCACTGGTCCTTTGGGATACTGTCACCATCCCATGCCATCCAAAGCAGCCTGTAATAACTCCTGCCTGTTTTGGGCACGAAGGCAGAAGAAAGGGAATATATGACTTTCTTCCATAACTTACTGCCCTGTAAAAGGTTTTTAAAGAATCTTTGGGGAAAAATTTAGGCCTCAGATGCACACATGGATCTCATTGAGCCCGCAGAATGCCATGCGAGTGCATGCATTAACAGACAAAATATGGCTTTTGATCTTTAAGAGAAATTAATATAAAATATGTAATTGTACTACTGTGTAATAGGATATTTTTTAATACTTTGTTAAAAATACTCCCCAAACTGAAATACAAAACAACAAAACATCCCAGGCCTTGGTCTTTTAATGGCCTATCTTCACCAATGCACATCTCACCTTTGATGCGGTTTGTAAATGTGCTTTTGTGCTTTGAAATTCAGTAAAATATTTGTACTTAATGAAATAATAAGCCAAGCACCTTCCTGTCCTCATGTCTGTCCATGTTTGAGAATTTGGCATTATATTTGGAAGTGAAACACACATACTTGTCCCGGCCATCTGCAGGGCCTCCCCTGTGACCAGGCCTTTTCTTCTGCCACAAAAAACCCAACTGTGATGGCTCAGCACTCATTCCATGAGCCTGCAAGCACAGAGACTTCCAGCATGTGCTTACATTCATGAGCCTGCAGGTTTCCCAGCACCTCTTGTAGCCATTCCCTGAAAGAGTGTGATGGATTAAAAACCTCTGCTGACATAGACCTCTCAGGGGTATGCAAGACTGACAGCTTGGAGGTGGCTCCCCAGGGTCTATTGACACCTTGAAACTGCTGCAGTTGCATCAACCTGTGAGTGGGTGGTAATGAAAGGCAATGAACCTCAACCAGAGGCATCTTGGCTTTCATTTTAGCTGCCTGAAATCCTCGGTGTGTTGGTCTGACTTAAATGTTCACTGAAATCTGAAGCAGCTTCTGCCTGGAAAGGTTCCCACAAACAGAAAAACAAGTACAAGGGTGAGCAAGTGGTATTGAGCAGAGTCTACCTGAGACAAGTTCTGAGGAGGAACAGCAAACTCTCCTATTTCTTCAACAGGGAAATAGCACAATGTAATTTTTGAAGAAGAAACCATTCAGGTCTCTATTGTTCTGTCAAATTGCAAATAAAAGAGAGATAAACTGTAGGAGCCACTTCATCAAGGTAACAGTCTTAGGTGAGTAGGATCGTTGTGTCATCTCAGAACAAGCATTTACATGTTTCCATTGAAATGAGGTGTGGTCTTGTTCCCTGTTCTCCAGTCTGTTGGTTACACAAGAGACCTTTCTCCTGAAAGGTTTCCTTAAGTCTTCCCAGTTGTAAGACTGGATTTGCTCCCCATTTTGTACTGGAGCATCCCTATTTTTTGGCTGAAGTGTTTAGTAAATATTCACCTTTAGGCAGAAACTGAGGCTAGGACCTTTCCACCTGGTCCTTTAGCTGAGATTTTATGAAGTCATGAACAATGAAGGGAAGGGTAACAATAGAAACATACATGCAGCCCTTACCATAAAAAGAACTTGTATTTTAGCAATAACAAAATACGTATTTTTTACAGTATTTCTATTTTGCTGATTCTCAAAGTCTAATAGACTGAATTTTTTTGCTATTAAGCTTCATAGATTACAGCTGAAGTCATAAAATTCTATGAAAAGCCATCTTAATGAGTTTTGATTGGAATTTTATTGTTAGTTGATTGTATCAGATGCTGTTTATTCCATTCAGATCCACAAGTAAAAAACATTTATTATTATTTTTGGTGACACTAATTTGGTGTGCAAAATGATGGTTTTGGTCCCCTGCCCATCTCTTTAAAGAGTACTGACTAAAATTTTGCTGAAAAAAATAAAGCAGCAGAGAAATAACAAACAAACAAACAAAAAAACCCAGGACCCACAAACAAACAACTAAAATGACAAAAAACACCCTGGAAACCAAAAATCTGTTTTTTCATGCCTTGTTAGACTATTAGACAACATTTATTTGCAGCAAATTGCTACAGAGGGGGAAGTGAGGAACAGAATGCTATTGCTTATAGAAAAGTATTGACATAGCTGGAGATCAGGTACACTCCTTATCACCCATCCCCTGTCCTCTTTGGAGTGGGAGATACTCCTGCAGTGCTTTGGAGATGAGAGAAGCTGAAACCAAAGGACTCTCTACATAATGCTGTATTACAATGAACCTTTTCAATGTGTTAATACAGTAAAATCCCCGTTATCTGAATTCCATATTCTTCAATTACCGTAGCTTGTGATTCAGGTAAATGGGAATCACCAAGATATAAATTTGCACTGCATATTAACTCACTGGATATTAATCTCTTTCTTACATTATTTATATAAACTGCAGCATGATTTGGCACATAAACACAGTAAGTTTAGTTTATTTTAGAAATTCAGTGCAAACTATATCTTGCACCAAAAAATGCATTCAAGTTATATCTCAAGGTATAAATCTGAATTAATATTAACCAGGCTTTGTGTGCTCAATCTTGTAAGCATACACTAGCAGATTCATCAGAAAGAAGGTTAGTCAGTACAGATGAAAAATAAGAAATTATTATCTGTGTTGCAGCACACAAAGAAGTGAAGATAGGATCTACTTTTATTTTTTTCCAGCTGCTGGAAGATTTGAGATAGTATTTTGGATTGCTTCTTTCTTCTATTTGTATTAGAGAATGGAGTAGAGAAAGTCTTGGGGCAACTGAAGCCCTATGGTAAATTGATTGAAGTAGATGCAGGTAGATAATTTGTGAATTTTGTTCCTGGCACTACAACAAGTGACAATGCTGAAGGTAGCTTTTCTGAACATCAGAAGTGCAGATAAAGTTAATGTTTTGTGGGATGGTTTAGTTGGATGTAGTGCTGCTCTTTAAAGATTAGGCCAGCCTCATTAAACATGGGTGTACATTAACCACTTCGATCTACAGCTTCTGCCTGTCTTCATGGTTAGCATTTGGTTGCTGCTGAATGCTTATTTTATTTTTAGGTTTAGCTTGTTCATGCAGCTGAAGTTTATCTAAGCTTGGCTTTTTTTTCTGAAAGAAAACACGCACACTAGGAGTCCAGAATACCTCATCCTCTTTTGAAGCTGTGCTATCTCCTTGCTGACTGTCAAGGATGGGAAGGGCCATAGGTATTGCCCCCTGTAGAATGGGTAAATCAGGTGTGTTTGGTTTTGAGGTGGGTAAAAAGAGCCATCCAATCCTGGTACTCATTTTGATGCTTAAAGATGACATAAAAGCTGCACACCAGGAAGGAATGCCCACTGAGGAGGAAGAAAGCAGCCCTGCACTCCTCTGTGATTGGGACTGACTGTGTTGTTGCTGGGTGGAACAGCATAATGCTGCTGCTGCTCCTGCTCCAGCACTGTGATGTTTCTGTTCCAGATTGTGCTGACTCACATCCCAGAAAATATGATACACAGACATAATGCACTGTAACTCTTTTCCTTCCCCCCCGTAACCTCGGTAAGTGTTTGGTTTCTTTTCCTCTCTTTGGCTAGCGTGGTGCTAATATAGCTTTACTGTTGGAATTAATAGGAGGGGGAAAGGCAACCTTGTAAACAAACTGGTAGCAGACAGATTAATCTTGGAGAGGGCATTTAAATGCAACCTGCTGTTTGTGGTATGTCCACCTCCCTTTAAAGCTGATCAATCCTGATAACTTACCCATCTCTAAAAATGACACTTGTTAGAGCTGTGTTCTTAAATGGGAGAAGTGCTTACAATGCCCATTTACAACTGTATTCTGTTTAATTAGTCAGCACAGCCGGTGCTGCAGGGATAGATCACTTGCCTTTAAAGATTTGAGAATGTTAATAGTACAGTATATCATTTTAATTATTATTGGATTAATGTTGTGTCTCGAAGAACATCTAATGCAAATCACAAGAAATGGCCTGAAGTGACCCAAGGGTTGTGCTTTATTAGAAAAGTAATAGGTCCATTGCCTAAATATAAAAAGAGGTTCTTTCTTCAAATGTCACTCTACACTAGGCTTCTCCGTGTGTGTATGTGAAAATGAAATCCTTTTACTTCCACTTTGTCCACAGAAAGTTTCTGTAGCTAATGCATTAAATGGCTGAGAGAGCAGCTGTAATATCAAGAGATGAAGAGGAGATCCAAAACAGCAGTGATGATGAAGACAGTTTTCCTACTCAAGTTGCTGTAACAGCATCCCCTGGTTGCTCTGCCTGCCCTTCACTAGACAGCCTTGATGAAGACAAGGGAAGCTCAGCAGAGCCAGAAAGACTGTCTGTCCTCTCCAGCAGGGCAGTGGCCCAGCTAAAAGCCCCAGCTGGCCCAGAGATGGTTTGTGGTGGCCAGGCACAGAGGACAGTCCCTGGGCTGGCTGAGCATCCTCTGGCAGCTGTAGATGCATCCTTAGGTGCCTCCTCATGCCCTGCAGCAGTTGATAACCTGCTGCCTGTGCACCTTGCCTCCCTGTATGCCAAAAGCCTCTGCTGTGATGGCAAACTGAATTCAGAGATGCTGCAGGTCCCGAGGGCGCCTGGTGAGGCCCAGCAGTCAGGGACTGACACCCAGCAGGCAGGGAGCAGCACCCAGAGCAGCATGGCCTCCTGCAGTTTGGACCGTGTGATTTGGATGAAGACCACAACAGTAATGGAGACCTTAGAAAATAAGAAGAAGGAGGAAAAGGAGAAGTACCGGCTCCAGCTAGCAATGTACCGACGGCTCCTGCTGCTGCGCTCCATCAGGAGTTTGCATAGGCAGCTGGAGCAGCAGCAGGCCAGGCTGCAGGAATGCTATGGCATGGTGATAAATACAAAGAAAGAAGTGTTGAAACACATTTGCCCAACCTCGCCCTCACTTTCACCGTAATCATGTTGCTGCCTGCAGAAATGAGCTTTGCAACGCCACCCGAGCCGCCTTGCATGCCATAGGGGTGGTGTCCTCGTGTGCGCCGAGCGGAGAGGGAAAAGCAGCAGCAGTTCAAGAAGAGAGGAGGGAAGGTACAGCCTTGGTCCCTGAATTTTATCTGGAGGGAAAAAGAGCAAGGGTGAACCTGTGGAAGAAGCTGACTCCTGATTCCCACTCAAAGCCTCAAGGTGAAAAAGGATTTTTTTGGCAGATAGGTTTGTAAAAAGAAAAAAATCACCACAAACTGGGAACCTAGTTTGTCACCTGACCCATAGAGGTGGCTGGATGCAAGGTTGCTGCCTGCTGAATATGTGTTATGGTACATCTCCCTTCTACTTTCAGAGTCAACAAAATTTGAACAGAATTAGGGTTTATTTGTCTGCAAGAATACCTGAATTTAAAAAAACAGGATATTTGAAACACTTAGGCTAAGGCTTGATTATATCTACCTAGCTGCCTGTTTTTCACAAAACTGCTAAGGACACTGTATGTTTGCAACCTCTACTTTCCTTTAAAATTTATTCAGAGTGATCAGAAATTATTGTGGAAAGGTAGGACAGCCAAACACACACAGGGAAAGAGTGCAAATGCCTAAGCCTGATTTCCTCAGGAAAGTAATATAAAAACAAGGACCTTGTAGTCTGATGTTGCACTGGAAACCCAGGCTGGCAGTGCCAGGGGAATGTTCAAGGTCTGCACAATTATTAATCTGCTGCTAATTCCCAGTGGTACTAGCATCTGCAAATCAAGCATATTTTGTGCCTTACTGCTGTCATTTAATGGAAGTTGGTGACAATTAGCACTTCTTATCCAGGTGTATCAGACGTGGAAAACCCTGGAGCGCTGTTTCTCCAATTGCAAGGTTAGGATGCCTGCAGGGAATTTGATGTCAGTATGCAACAAACACACAGGGAAAATGAAAACAAAAAGATGCAACTTTCTTGTATGCATTTAAAAGGTAATGTGAGTCACTCTTATTGAACAGCAAATTGAATAGTTGAATGAGCTGTTTTAGGATTGGAAGAAAAATATGATTCAAGAAGAAAAGCTACAGAAAAATTTCCTATTCTAGGATTTCAAGGGATACGGAAAAATCACTTTTTTTTCAGATATTTATTTCTGATCATGCCAGCTTTCCTTTTCCCTGCCTTTCCTTGTTTTTCATTTGTTTTTTTTATATAATTGATTTTTATTATCTTGATGAACAATCAAATATGTTTTGGTGTGGGTTTTTTTCTGCATAGAAAGGCAGGTCTGCTTTTAATCATCCTTTATGAAAATAATGTGCTATATAGAGGAAAAATTTTATTCTCACTTTTTTTTGGTACATATACAAGGAGAGGGGTATGCAGGTACACACACCTCCCTGTATTCAAGAAGCTATGAAAGGTTGATGCTTCTTTTCCTGTAGCAGCAGCAGGAATAATCTCTCAAAATAATCTCTGCTGTCTATGAGGAGTTTGTTTGATTAGATTCACATGCACACATCTGTGAGCAAGGTATTGAAGTAATTCAACAAATGAAGTGCAGCACAACATTGTCATTATTCCGTCTTTGTATTTCTGTGCACCCAAAAATTATGGAAGCCCCCTGGGTATGCACAACCTTAGATAGGTTCATTCATTTCCTTGGGCCCTTGTGTAGCCTCTCATGCAACACGAACCAGTAACTTTGAATGCAGAATTACCATAGAAATATCCTTGGCATCAAGGAGATATTTGAAGGAGCATCCTCTACTGCCTCATTTGGGGAATTCAGGTTGCCAGAGGCCTTTAGTGGGCTACAGAAGAGAGCTGCTGGTCACATGTGACTGGGAAACAGTACTCCTGGGCTCTGATCCCATCTCACTCTCTGCTCAGCCTTGGGAAAGCTGTTCTCTCTCAGCAATGCAGGTTTCCTAAAGAATGCTTAAATAATAAACTTGCCTCAAAGTTAACCTGTTCTTTCTTCACGTGCCTCTCAAGAAGAATTCAAGGGGTTCATCATGGCCGAGAGTGTTACATAAAGATTTTTTAATTTCTTTTCCCCCATACTTCTTGAAATAGAAAAGCCTTTTTTGTCAGTGTTAAGAGTAAGTATTATGTGAACCAAACACAAGCAAATCACTATGATATCACCTCCTTTGGGCAAAGATATATTGGAGAAGGGTCACATCTCAAAAATATTGCTGCATTTTGAAACCAAATGTCAAATTGTTACCTTTAGAAAGACAGTCAAAATGAATATTTTTTAATGCTAGCCAACTTTTCTTTTGAACTGAAAAAGAATTATCTTTTAAGGTGTATTCAGGTTGACTAATACTATCATGTAACTTTCCACTGAGATATAATAGATAAATGAAAACATCACCCCACCAAAATACAAAAAACCGCTGCTAAAACCAAGTAACTGTTTTGCCTCAGTAGCTGCTGAAGTAGAGCACTGTTCTGCATTTGCTGCAAGAGTGCCCTACATTACTGCATAGAGCTACCTATAGTGTCATATTTGCATTAAGGAGTGACTAGAATAAGGTTAAGAAATACATTTCACATAACTACTAGTGCAGAAATAGTCTGTCAGTCTGTCCGACTATAAATTCTTTGTGGCAGAACAGTGATAATCTTTGTTTTGTACAACATCTCATAAAATATCTTGATCCTAACTGGGATCAGTAGATGCTTCTGCTTTATGAATATTAAATACTGAAAGATTTGTGCATGGGCAATGCTGTCTGATAGCTGGCAGGAAAATGAAGCCTGAAGTTATTCTGTGTGTGCACACCCCTTCCATGTAGTACTTCTATGGATACAAGCAAAATAAATATTAACTGAGGAAACAACTTCAATCTTTGCAAGAATTTGCTTTTCAGCCAGCGCTTCTAGTGGTTACTAATAAGTGGAGTTGGACAAAACAGTTAAAGGCAATATGATTTTTTAAATTAGTTTATTTTAGAAGCTTGGAAAATGTGGCTTAGCAGCTATGGGTTTTTTCCTTGTATGTTTTTGTGTATTTTGGAAGTTGAAGGTCAGTGAGAAATTCCCAGAATGCCATGGGTAACTCTCAGAGGTGTTTTCAGGCATATCAAACTGAGCAACAGTCTCAGGTTGAATAAAAGTGTTTCCTCTCATATAGTTTGACCTCTTCATGGTCCTAAGAGCTTTGGTGCTTTGCGTGAGGTCCAATGAAATTTCTTGAAATTTGTATTTTTATCTGAACTCAACTCTCAGCCCTCACAGGAACTGGGGTAATGATGACAAAATGAGCAGTTTCAGTAGGACCTTTCTCCCCATTGTCTTTACTGAACTTCCAGAGCCTGCCAAACTAATGATCTGTGGGAGAAATATTCCATGCACCCCAACAACTTGTGTACTTTTACAGCAAAGGTTGAAGGTAAATTATGCTGCCTCAGCTGTAAGGTCCTGCTGCTCACCTGTTTCTGAAATGGCAGAAAATAATCCTGGGTTTACTGTGAAAGAGAGGAATATTTAAAAGGGGTCAGCCCTGTTGTAACAGTTGCTAATACTAAAAAAGTTGTAGTTTCTGCCAACCTAAAGCCAGAAATATTCAAGAACAGAATGGAGTTATAATACACTTGAGTGACAAAATGCATTACTGAGACGTTCTTCTACACAAGTTCTTCTCTTCTGCATCCCCAGCATTTCAGTCAGCTGAACTGCTGCCCTAGAGACTGGTCAGAACTGTGTTTTTGCTGTTTCTGTTGTTGATGGCCATGAGTCAGTCAAGATAAACAGCCCACCTTAACACGTTCACTTATTACCTTTTGTGACATAGCTCTGTGAGGGATTTGTTCTCTTCCTCCTTCCTGAGATTTTCCTATGTGCCAAACACTTTTTAATTAGGACAGTGACAATTTTATGGATTTATAGTAAATTAGTGATGTGCTAAACTTACGAGCCATGTACTGCTAAATGTAGATTACCCTGCATTGTTGGAACTGTGAAAATTATGAACTCTGGTCATGACATAAGCATACAAAAGATAGATTTAAAGATGAAGTTGTTTAAATCTTGCCTGGATGATGAGTAGACAAGGAGAGACCCTTTAGAATCTTTGTCACAGTTTATTTCTTCAAATGTTATGAATCTAGAATATAAATGCATTGTAGAGGCCCTTTTGCTTGTGACTATTGAAAGCAGTAATGCAAAGATGGGTTTGGGATATGCTTGAGTGGGACTGTACTCCAAATGCACTCAGAAAGGAGTAAGAGTTCCTCAGTTTTAAAACTCAGGCATTCAGGGCATGATAGCCAAAACCCTGGATGGTGGATGGAGGAGTGGACCTACAAGAGAGGTTTCAGTGTGTGATTTTTAATTCAGCATGCAGGATCTCACACTAGACAGTTTCATTTTTCAGTTAAGGATACCTTTTACTTCTTCTCACTCCTGAAAAAAGCTGTTTTGGATCATTAGGCTGGATGCATTCTAGTGCTTGTTTGTGCAATGTGCAAATTGGTACCCATTTCTGAACTCAAGTGACAATAGATATTGCTGCCAAAATTTATACATAGAACTTAATCCCCTAAACTGGGCTGCCACCTAAATTATAATATGTTGAAGTTGAGTGTCCTGTTGATTTTAAATGTCATTTTAATCTGTGCCAGGACTTTGAGGTATGCCTTGTTCATGTTCCTTCTTAATTTTGATGCATTTCTACCTCTTAGTATCTTCAAACAGCTACAAATGTCTTGTATGGCACCAATCTTTGTCTCTCTGGCTTTTCTATATTTGGAGGCCTTCCCATAAGTCCTTTGTGCTATTAAAGAAAAGGAAGTTAGTTTGTTTTGTTTTGTTTTGTTTTTAATTTAGTGAAAACTTGAAGCATGGGAGAGGGTTCTGTGAAAACATTTTTAGAGGTTTTACTTAAATGTCTTGAAAATAACAGAGGTTCTTACAGCTGCAAATAAGTTCCCCTAATTGTATTGATCATCTTCTCACACAATTTTAGCAAGTCTACAAAACAAA